GGTCCAGCTGTACTTGATTTGAGCAGTTTTCTGGTTTGCAGCAGGGAACATTTTAAAACTCAGGCTTGCATAAGGCAGTGGTCCAGCTGTACTTGATCTGAGCAGTATTCTGGTTTGCAGCAGGGAATTATCAAACTGCTGCAAACCAAGGGTGCCCATTGTCAACTTTTTATATTGGTGTTAGAACCCTTAGTGAAACACATACAAAAGCACAAAAAGATCGCGGGAGTAGACACAGCAGTAGGAGAACACAAGATAGCGCTATTCGCGGACAATATTTTCCTTTTGCTGACAAACCCTGTAGAATCACTTCCCCAACTTATACACTTATTAGAGACATATGGAGCGGTCTCCTACTATGAAAATAATATCAACAAGACACAAGTGCTGCCCATCGATCTGAGAAAAACAATTAAAAAGGACCAATTCTCCTTCGACTTTCCACCTACCTAATCTATAGATTCCGAGGTGTGCTCGGAGTTAATTGACACAATTATAACATTCTCAGGGTTTCATGGACTGCTCACAGCTTAGATCGCTGACATACCTGGGGTTCAACTAGCAACCACTAAACTATTACGATTCAACCAGGGCCGGATTAAGAGCACAGTGGGCCTGGTGCTGACAATTATGATGGGCCTAATTACGGAATCTTATCGACCAAAAACACTAAAACAATCATACCTCCCAAGCGTCATGTATCTGATGGAGATGGTGCTGGAGGGAAACTCATAGGATGCAGCTATAAGAAAACACATACTCTATGCTAATTTCTCTCTAATTTATGCTTTCATCTTTCAAGTAAATCCATAACCCTAACAGCAGTGTCCAGTGAAGCAGGAAGTCAATGGGCGGGGTAAAAGGGTGTGCCACTGGCGCGAATCACGTGACAAGACCTGCCAAAAGGGGTGAACATGCCCAAAAAGGGGGAATGTTTGTCCAAAGAATTGGAAGGTCAGCCTGGCATGAATGCATGTCAGGCTGCCTGCCAATCCTGCAGGCTGTCCAACTAAGGGCATACTATGCAGGCAGCACCCTAAGCGTGGCACTTATCTCCTTACCTTCTTACTAGCAGGCAGAAGTTCCTGGTATAGTCTGAGACAGAGAAAAGGTGTCTGTAGTGAGTGTAGAAGAAAGGGGACATGCCACAGTGTTAGAGAGACCAACGTCTGCATTACCTAAACTAACTTTAATGTCAGCCAGTGCACACAAGTTTTGTTCCCATACATCCCTCTTAAGCTTCCAAACTTAAAGGGACACTATAGTCACCAGAACAACTACAGCTTATTGTATTTGTTCTGGTAAGCAGAATCATTCCATTCAGGCTTTTTGCAGAAAACACTGTCTTTTCAGAGAAAATAACTCCACTGGCCGCTCCTTAGATGGCTGCTAGAGGTGCTTCCTGGGGCAGTACTGCCTAGTGTGCAGCACTGCCATTCAGTGTCTCCACCCTCTGCATGCAGACACTGCACTTTCCTCATAGAGATGCATTGATTCAATTTATCTTTATGAGGAGATGCTGATTGGCCAGGGCTATGTTGGACTTGTGCTGGCTCTGCCCCTGATCTGCCTAGTTGACAGTCTCAGCCAATCCTATGGGGAAGTATTGTAATTTGCTCAGACCACCACTTCTGAGCCAGCAGCTGCAGAATTGAATACAAGTAATATTTTACTATATTTAAGGAGGGAAGAAGGGGCCAGGGTGGTGGTTTTAACATAATAGGGTAAGAAATACATTTATTATTATTATTTTATTATTTATATAGCGCCAACAAATTCCGTAGCGCTGTACAATGGGTGGACTAACAGACACATAATTGAGATCAGACCACTGACGTCCAGGAACAGAGGGGGTTGAGGGCCCTGCTCGATGAGCTTACATGCTAGAGGGAGTGGGGTATAGTGACACAAAGGGTTAAAGTAGGGGAATTAAATAGTTTGTTACAGAAGGGTTTATTGAGTGCTTGGTAGGTCATTTTTGACAGGTGAAGGAACGGAGTCATGGGGTGGGGGATGAGAAACCTGCTGACAGTTTAATTGATACGCTTTAATAAAGAAGTGAGTTTTCAAAGATTTTTTGAAGGAATAGAGGCTGGGTGAAAGTCTGATTGAGGAGGGAAGGGAGTTCCACAGAATAGGTGCAGCCCTGGAGAAGTCTTGAAGGCGAGCATCAGAGGTGGGGATCCGGGCAGAGGATAGGAGTAGGTCTTGGGCTGAGCGCAGGGGTCTCGTCGGGACATACATGATTATGTTCCTGACACTATAGTGCTCCTTTAAGCAAGAGTATGTGAAGAGTATGTGAAGAGTAGTTAAGGTTACCACCTTTCTTGGAAAAAAATACCAACCTTAATCATTTGTATAATTAATTAGTTATGCGTGTAAATCACAAGGAGTGAAAATTCTGTAAAATCACCAACAAACTACTCACAGTTTGATTCTGCTGTATAGACGGATTGCTCCCAGTGTCTCCCTGTCTCCCAGTGTCTCAGTATCGCAAGTCACCCAGTGTCTCAGTGTCCCTATGTATCACAGTGTCAGTGTCCCCATGTCACCCAGTCCCCTAGTCTCCCAGTGTCTGTGTCCCCATTTCTCCCAGTGTCCCAATGTCTCAGTGTGCCCCCATGTCACTAGGATATTGGGGACACTGAGAGACATGGGGACACTGAGAGACCCGGGGACACAGAGTCATGGGGACACTGGGAGACATGGGGACACTGAGACATTTAGGGAAACTGGGAGAAATGGGGATACTGAGACACTAGGGACACAGACACTGGGAGACATGGGGACACTGAAACATTTGGGGACACTAAGACACTAGGGACACAGACATGGGAACAAAGACACTGGGAGACTAGGGGACACTGGGAGACTAGGGGATACTGGGAGACTAGGGGAAACTGTCTGGGAGACAGATACTTGGGGAGACATGGGGACAGTTGTGGGCATAGACATGGGGACATTGGGAAACATGGGGACACTAGGCACACAGAGACATGGGACACAGACACTGGGAGACTTGGGGACACTGAGACACTAGGGACACTGGCTGGGGGACATAGTGTCTCCGTGTCCCAATGTCCCTATGTCTCACAGCGTCCCCATGTGTCTCAGCATCCCCATGTGTCCCCTAGTGTCTCAGTGTCCCCATGTTTTCCAGTGTCCCCAAGTGTCTGTGTCCCCAGGTCTCACAGTGCCTGTGTCCCCATGTGTCCTAGTGTCTCAGTGTCCCCTAGTGTCTGTGTTCCCATGTGTCCCCTAGTGTCTGTGTCCCCATGTCCCCAAGTGTCTCAGTGTCCCCTAGTGTCTCAGTGTCCCCATGTTTTGCAGTGTCCCCAAGTGTCTCAGTGTTCCCAGGTCTCCCAGTGTCTGTGTCCTAGTGTCTCAGTGTCCCCTAGTGTATGTGTCATCATGTGTCCCCTAGTGTCTGTGTCCCTTAGTGTCTCAGTGTCCCCATGTGTCCCCTAGTGTCTCAGTGTCCCCATGTGTCCCTGCTGCCTTTCCCCCCGTCCCTCACTTACCTGAGCTGTAGAGCTGCTGTCTGGACTCTCTGTGCTGTGTAGCTGCTCCCCCAGGGATCAGTGAGTAGTAGAGAGAGGCAGGGATATTCTGTAACTTCCTATCCCTGCCTCCCTCCACACACAGTGACCCCTACTGGCCGGTGCTGGTATTGCAGGGTAATTTCCATTTATTCTGAGAAAATTACCTGCATTTGTATTGCCGGTATTACTGGAATACCGGCACGGCCAGGCAGCCTCAAAAACCATCTGTGCCAATAAAATACCAGTCAGGAGGCAAACCTAAGAGTAGTGTGTAAAAAAAACAAAAAAAAAACATTTTTTTTTTTTTTAAATGGGCCTATTCCATGGGCCTGGGCCTGGAGCTGCAGCTCCATCAGCCCCTATGTTAATCCGGCCCTGGATTCAACCACACAAAACTGCTTACTAAACTGCAACACACAACACAAACATGGGAAACAAAAATGATTTCATGGTTTGGTAGAATCAGCTCCCTGAAAATGATAGTGCTGCTCAGATACTGTTCCTATTCCGCAATCTCCCAATGGAAACACAGAACAGTATTCTTACAAATTTCCAAAAGGCCCTAAACACCCATGTATGGAAACGCAGACCACCCCGCATATCGGCTCTCACACTACAATATCGACTACATGAGGGGGGTTTGGGAGTACTAGACGTTCACACATACTATGCGACCACTATATTAGCACAGATAGGAGGCCTCCATGGCAAAACCGATTATCCCCTTTGGTACACACGAGAGAACTCAGTAATCGCCCCTCATAATATCCTAACCCTATTGTGGATACCAGCTCAGTTACAACTTAACAAGATATACCCTTTAGCTACCAAGTCCTTATCAATATATATATAAGTGGAATAAGTGGGCTAAAGCTCTATTGGATCAGAAACACCCACTGTGGTATGCCCCTCTATAATGCCTGCAGTACCACACCAAGGACCTGTTGCTCCAACCACAGATCACGGAAGGTATCCAGAGAATCTCCTAATTGTTTGGTAAGTCCGGACTCATGGGTGTCCGCAGGGGGGGGCAAGGGGGGGCACTTGCCCCCCCCTGGATTTTTCAGCTTGTTCTGCTATTTTTCGTGATTGAAAATGAACTGCAATACCGGCGCCGGCCAGTAGGTGCAGTACTGCGCTGTGAACTGCAGTACCGGCGCTGTGTATAGAGAGAGACAGGGATAGGAAGCTGCATCTTATCCCTGATTCTCTCTGCTGATTGAAACCGCAGGGGAACAACACATGCAGCCAGAGACTGCCTACAGATCAGGGAAGTGAGGGATGGGGGGGAGGGTTTGAGATAGCCTATAGCAGCAGCCTATAGATTTTGGGGAATTGGGGGCAGCCTATAGATTAGGGCAGCAGCCTATAGATTAGGGAGTGAGGCTGGGGAGGGGTCAGAAGCCTATAGATTAGGGGAGGGGGGGCAGCAACCTATAGATTAGGGAGTGAGGCTGGGGGGGGCAGCAGCCTATAGATTAGGGGAGTGAGGCTGCATAGCTTGGGGGAGCAGCCTATAGATTTGGGGAGGGGGCAGCAGCCTATAGATTTGGGGGGGCAGCAGCCTATAGGTGGGAGTGAGGATGGGGAGGGGTTTAGAGATAGCCTATATAGATTTTGGGAGGCAGCAGCCTAGATTTGAGGGCAGCATGCCTATTATTGATTTGAGAGGGAGCAGCAGCCTATAGATTTGGGGAGGGCAGCAGCCTATAGGTGGGGAAGTGAGCATAAGTGATGCAGCCTGTACTGTAAATTGTGCTCCTAAAAGCACAAACACACGCCATGTGTATATGTATATGTGTGTATATATATATATATATATATATATATATATATACATATACTATATATATATATATATATATATATATATATATATATATATATACAAAAAATATAGATGAATGGTTGCACTCACGGTTTTTCAAGTAAAAGTCCAAAGTTTATTGTTAATTCATAAAAACTGCGATCAACGTTTCAGTCCTACCGAGAGGACTTTCATCAGGATGATAAAAACCTATATATATATACACTGCTGTGTGAGGGTGCTGGTAGTGTGCTATGTGGGTGTGGGTGTTTTTGTGTGTGTTTGTGAGAGTGCTCTGTGTGAGGGTGCTGTTTGTGTGCTGTGTGTGAGGGAACTGGTAGTGTGCTGTGTGTGTGTGTGTGTGTGTGTGAGAGGGTGTTTGTGTGTGCGTTTTTGTTCGGGTCCTGTTTGTGTGCTGTGTGTTTGTTAGGGTGCTGTTTGTGTGTGAGTGTGCTGTTTGTGTGTTTATGAGGATGCTGTTAGTGTGCTGGGTGTGTGTGAGTGCTGTGTGTGCGAGGGTGATGTATGTGTGTGGGTGCTGTTTGTGGGCCGTGTGTGCTGTGTGTAGGTGCTGTGTGTGTGTGTGCTGTATGTTTGGGTGGAGGTGGGGGCAGATTAGTTAATATCCCAGTCCTGTTGCCTTCCCTGGTGGTTCAGTGGAGAGTGAACTCTAGCCCGGGTTCTCTGCTGCCTCCCTCCATACTGCTGTGGACCGGTGAGGTAGAACTTTGATCTCCCCACCGGCCCATGGAGGCTTAGACCAGAGCCGCCGCTCGGATAGCGTCGGCTCTGCATGAGCCGACCGGGGAGATCCAGACATCTCCACTGCCGGTCTCAATCCATTGGCGTGCCGCGGGGATTAGGGTCAGCAAGGAGCAGGAAGGTAAAGTAAGAAAAGGAGAAGGAACAGAAATGAGCAGGAAGGGACATCAAGGAGCAGAAAGGGGCAGCAAGGAGCTGGAAGGGACAGCAAGGAGCACAAAAGGTAAAGGAGAAAGAGCACAAAGGAACAGAAATGAACAGGAAGGGTCAGCAAGGAGCTGGAAGGTAAAGCAGCACAAAGGTAAAGTAGAAGGAGCAGAAAGGGTCAGAAATGAGCTGGAAGGGGCAGAAGGAGCACAAAGGTAAAATAGGAGAATGAGCAGGAAGGGCCTGCAAGGAGCAGGAAGGAGCACAAAGGTAAAGGAGCAGAAAGAATCAGAAGGAGCACAAAGGTAAAGTAGGAGAAGTAGCAGAAAGGGACAGCATGGAGCACAAAGATAAAGTAGAAAAGGGAGCAGAAAGGGTCTGCAAGGAGCAGAAAGGGATCAGAATGAGAAAGGAGCAGAAGGGTGCAAAATAAGCAGAAAGTAGCAGAAAGGTAAAATAGCAGAAGGGGCCAAGGATAGAAAACAGTGTCAGAAGATAAAAAAAGACTGTCAAATGAAGGAGATTGGAGCAGGAAGGACAAATGAAGTGAACCCTCCACTTTATTCTGGACACCACATCAGAAGGCTTTGGTACCAGGGCCTGGCAGGGAAACGCTGGACCTTCTCATCTCCAAAGGTAAAAAATATCAGTATTAATGTGTTCACTTTTATTTACTGAGTGTCAGGAAGCACAGACTGCCATTGGGTAGGGGTGTTGCTGATTGGCTAGAGCGGTCAGCTGGCACTCTAAGCCAATCAGTAGCTCCCCATTCATAAAAAAGTAAAAATATTTTATGAACCGGGAACTAACGATTGGCTTAGAGCGTCAACTGTCCACTCTAGGCAATCAGCGGCACCCATGCCTGACGTCAATCTGCACTTCCTGACACTCTGTTTCAGAAGCCAAATACCACTGAGCGACCTGGAGCTGGAGGAAGCCTTTGGGGTTAAACCATTTGAGAGTGATTTAACCCCTTAAAGGAAAGCGAGCACCCAGGGGCTTCCTGGCATCATAGCATTTTCATTTAGGTGAAGTTGTTATGGTGACCTGAATGGTCCTTTAATTTGCTTAAAGGAACGCTATAGTGTCAGGAATACAAACATATATTCCTGACACCATAGTTGTGAAAACGCTATTCACGCTGGCTTTATGTGATAATGGCTATGCCCCTTCCCTTTCATGGCACTGTCAAAAAGGTACCAATCATGGATGTCATTACAATTATGCCCCCCCCTGGAAAAAAATCCTGCGGACGCCCATGTCCGGACTACAAACTTTCCCAGGGCTATAGGAGAGGTTTGCACTCTCCAACAGGGAGCTCTTTACGTACCTAAGAATTAAACATATAGTACGGGAGATCACAGGCCCCACACCAAACTCGTCCACATTTTGAATGTGTGGGAGGGAAACTTAGCAGGAAGCCATTACCAGCTTGCTACAAAGCCATTCAGGATCTACAGAGACCCATTAAGTTCTCATATATGATAAACTGGGAAAAGGAGGTCGGTCAGGAATTCACCACATATCAATGGGTGCAAGCACTAACACAACAAAAGCAGCTACTAGAAGCATAGACCCCCCCAAAGGCTCTCACGTATTTATGCCAATCACATGGGGATGCGGGGATAAATAGGTTCAATTAGCCACATGTTCTGGTCGTACAAATTGCTTCACACCTTTTGGTCACAAATCAAAGAGGTGATATTCAATATGACAGGGCATGGCCTACCTTTCCACATCGCACCCTACATACTACACATCTTCCCGAAGGTATACAACACAGTGGTTAGGGCAGCAATAATCCACGTTCTGATAGCCGTAAAGCACTGTATAGCAACCTTATGGAAAACAAAGGAGCCCCTGCCACTGACTAGGGTACTAGAAAAACTCAATAAGACCAGAGTATATGAAAGCATGTCCCATTCACTGACTAATACTAGTAAGATGAGTGAAAAAACATGGGAACACTGGGACGCAGTCTGGGAAACATATGGGGAAAAAGGGAAGGGTAAAGTAGGCGGAGCGCAAAACCCTCCAAAATGAACCTAGACGACCATGAAAGGTCTAAAGGTCTAGGTTTGGGGCAACAAAGGGAGGGGTACCACCCAGATGGGCTGAAGGGGTCTCCGGAAACAAAAAACTGCAAAGTATAGGATGGGGTGCAAAGGGTTGATGGAGGGGGGTACCTGAAGAGAGCAGACGCAGTCCCAATGTTTTGATAGAGCAAAACGGCAGAGCCAACGATCTTTCTGGAGTTCAAGGCTTATTTTCTTTTTAGTTATGTTTTCAATTATTTACTTCCAATATGTTGACAAGCTGATGTCCAAGGCCACACTATGTGCATGTATGTTAACGCATAGAACTAAACTCGCCATGATTGCTATGGTAATAATGTAAGACCACTGGACCGAGAGGGCAGGCACAATTTGCTATTGAATGTAAATGGTTAATTACTGTATTGCCACATGTAATGCCACACAATAATGTCTACAACAAGAATGATGTGGTACCACCGAACCCACTTGTTATACTCTATCCATGGCAAATGTCAACAAAATATGATGTTGATGCGTAAATGTTGTTGTTGGACATTGGATATCTGTAATGTTTAACGAAAAAAAAATATATATATATATATATATATATAAATTGATTCAATGAAA